TCAAACTCTGGCTCTCTATAAACCTATTATATATAGTATATATTTTATATTACATGTATATCCTTACTGTAGGAGAAGTTGCATGGCTATTCATATGTTAGAAGGACAATGTTGTGCCATGAGCCATGGGGAATCAGATCCTTAAGAATGTCCAGGAAAGAAACAAACAGTTGTAGTTGGTGGCAACAAATATTATGCCTGTGCCTGGCACCCGAGGGAAGAAAACCCTTCTGGTCCCCTATTTATTTTTCTCAAGAAGTGCTGTTTTTATTCTATATAATTATAAGGTTGTATTCCACTTTGAATGCCATGGCAACATCTCATGGGACCCTGGGGTTTTAGTCTGTTGAGACAGTAGAGCTCTCTCACTAAAAATTATCCATTCACTTTCCTAAACTACAACTCTCATGATACCAGAGGATGGAAACATGGCAGTTAAAGTGGAATCATAGTTCTATAGTTGTGTAGTGTGAAAGGGGCCCTGGATAAGGAGGCCGCTGACATCTCTTAGAATAAACTGTGAGTCTTCACTATTCTTTGTTCCGGGTGGGCACAACTCAGACCCACTACATGATATGAGGCAGCAACTGATCAGGGGCTAACATTTATCTAGCTTGCTTAGCAGATGGCGGAACTATTCAGAACTGGCTTTGCTTTTGTTATCCAGTGATCTGAAGTAAACCTTGTGTGGCCTCATCGTTGTACTAGCAGAAATCCATACTAGTTGGATTGCTCATTCCAAAGTTTCATGTATGTTTTGAGCTAGAACTTGGAAAAGTTACGCCTTTGGAAAAATTACTGGAATCCTCCAACTAGCCTTTGGCCCATTTACCTACCTCCATAGAAATCAGTTAAAATTATTATGAGTCTAGCTGCTGGGCAAACCAAACCATGGAGGCCAAATACAATATGAGAACTACAGGGGATCCTGCCCAAAATCTGGAGCTGTTATCATCATCTTACTAAACAATCAAGAGACATGTTTGGTTGTGAGATTATGCAATGTTACAGTGAAATTATTTTTGCACTGGTGCAGTTACACTACTATTTGTATCAGATTGCTTATTTGCTTTCTGATATTGTGAACCTTTTCATATTTTGCTAGAAATGTTAGGAGATTTGATTTTAAAGTGTCCTTTTCAATAAACAAACAAACAAATAAATAACTTGGGGGGGGGGGAGGGAGAAATACCACTCAAAACTAGAAAAATGCCTTCTATCTAAGCAGGACAGTGTTGTTAAAATTGTAATTTTATGACGGTCATGCATTCATTCACTTGTTTTTATAATAATGCCAAAAGAAAAACTTGAAAATAAAAATGATCACTAAGTGAAATCTCAACTACATTTATATTTAAACAACAATGGTTGGGTGGCTATATTTCCTACTTGTTTCAGAGATATAATTCCAAAATTAAGATAAGATTAATATTTTCTAGCCAAGTCTCTAGAGTCTAGCATGATCATTTAGAATGAAATAAATGTATAGACTGAAAGGATTTGGTTCTGACTTTAAAAAGGAAATGTGACTAGCAAGCACAATATAGAAACATATGGTCCTTATAATTACACCAAGCTTGTTCCCATACAACATTTAATAATAAAAGTAATGTTCTTAGCAGAATAACAGTAATGTATCTGATAGATGAGTGGCATGACCACACTTCAAGTTTCTTGAATTATACAGCTTGATGCCACATTATTGGACTTTAGCAATTGCCACAAGCATATATTTTACTAAGGTAAAGTACTAATAGAATGTATACTGTTAGCACTTCTTTACTCAACTGATTTCCTCATTGATGTGACACACAGCTTATTTTCTTTGTCTTAATGTTTTCACTATGTTCAACTATGTTTATTTTTAAATCTGTTATACCTATATATATATGTGTGTGTGTGTGTGTGTGTGTGTATATATACATTCAAGCTGTAGAAAGACAGTTGAGAGTGTTAGCATTAATGTAATTCTGAAGCCATTAGTCAAGACTAGACAATCCTTTCAGCAACACTTGGCTGATTTAAGTTATAACAATAGAATTTTCTACCATGGTCCATTGATGATATATGTATTTAGCTGTGAAATGGTCTGCAAAATTAGGCATCTCAAGCTGAGCCAGGAAATATACTTGAACTTTATAGTATTATCATCTTTCAAGAGCAAATGCAGTATAATCTAAACTCAGCCAATCTGCTTCTAGAACTGTGAGGAGAATGATGAATCAACAGTGTCATACTTTGGGAACTGAAATAAGGGGATTTGTTTTCAACAGTTTGGAGTGTGGTAGATGCCAAAAAGCAATCTACAGTGATATCATGTTCACTCTTGGCAATGGGTCCCCAGCTGTACACTATTCAAATCTTCTGAATCAAAACATACAGCAATTTTATCTAGTGAAGCAATATCGTTTTATAGTGACAACTAGAGATTACATAATAATTAAATGTACAGACTCAGTTGAGGTCATTTTGAGGCACCCCAGACATGAATGGAAGTGCTTATCACTGCACTGTATCATTGTAGAGTCACTCCAAACCAGTCCAATTCATATTGAAGGAATACTTTTCAAAAAAACAGGGAACTCTCATTTCTAGGCAGCTGAAAGCACTTTGAATCTTTGTTGAAAGCACTTTGAATTATGCTCAAAGTGATTTCTAGTTGTGCGGTAATCCTAAAGCACTTCTGCAATGCATTTGGGCACAGTGACATTTCAAGATGGGTTTGCAACACCAGGATACAGTTTTGAAGTCTTGGCAGTAACGTCCTAAAATGAAAATGAACTAAAATAGAGAAGATATTATTATACTTCAACAGTATACTTCATTACTGAAAGGCAAGACAACCATGAGTTCAGATCCTGATAACTCTGGTTATAGTTCTTTACAGTGCCAGTACCATGGCAGTGGTTCCCAACCTTTGGTCCTCCAGGTGTTTTGGACTTCAACTTCCAGAAATCCCAGCCAACCTGCAAGCTGTTAGGAATTGTGGGAGCTGAAGTAGAAAACACCTAGAGGTCCAAAGGTTGGGAACTACTGCAGAGGGTTTGTCAACCCATGGGGCATGGTTTGGGATACAATGGCAGCTACAGAAAGGAGAGGGATTGTTGATTCTGGTGGAAGCAGAACTAAGCAGCTGTAGCACACCACTGAATGTTGGCAAGAGATTAGCAAAAGACTGTGATGAACACAGTGTTGGGGAAACTTTTTTGTAATTTTCTAAAAAGCTTTGCCGCTGTCTTTCAAAACTGCAGGAAAGAGGCAAAGCTATAGAACTCTCCAAACATCATCTTTATGTAGTCATTATGTGGCAACCTTTTTCCAATTTTTGTTTGTGTGCATACATGGTAAACTGCTGTTTCGATTATGCCTTCTTGACTCTGTTTTCCCAAAGTGGAGCCAATGCTGCAGTTATTAGAGCACCTGCAGGAGATAAATTCATTGTCACAATTTGCTGAAAGTGATAGGCTCCATTAAACATGTTTAGGATAGTTCCACTGAAACAAACAGCACAATCTAGACTAACCGAAGCCCTAATAATTTCAGGGGGATAAATTCAATGACAGCCCCCAATTAGAGCAGACTCACTGAAATGAATTAGACTTATTAGTCACAAACCATGTAATTGATTTGAAGGAGTCTGTTCCTAATGGGGCAAACATTGGATTTATCTCAATGGGTCTGCACTAAGAAAGATTCCAGGTTGAATATCTGGATCTAACCCAGAACCCATTTCTCTCTTTCTCCCCTTAATTCCTGCATGAAGAGTATAATAACTCTCACATAAATTACAGGAAACTGGTAAATTTATACTGCTATAATATAAATGTATATTCTATAACTGAATTACCAAGCTAATAAAGTGTCTTGCAAAATGTAATCTACCCATAAAATCCTCCCTGGTTTCTCTTTTCTTTTTTATAGTAAGTTAGTTTTACTAAATACATCACACATCTAACGTAATATATGCCATTATTGCTAACGATGTGAATTGTTTCAAGCTGCTTAGTGTGCACATGACAATCTTAAATCAATTGGGTTTTTAAAAGCATTTTGTTTTACATCATTGTTGGGAGAAAAAAAGCTGGTATCATTGACAGTGTGGAACAGCGGGAAAGAGGGGAGGAAATGAAAGGGGTTAGCCCTGTGTGAACTGGCTTTCCAGCTAATTTAAAATCCCCTTTTAAAAAAAAGCACTAACGGAATGCATAAGTCCTTCAAAAGATCAAGATTACAATGAAGGAGGCCTCTGCTGAAGAATCCACTTTGTAGATCTCCACATGAATCTTGACAAATCAGCCCCTAAGCAATGGGGAACCTCACAACTGACTCATGATGCAGCAGGAGGAGTTGATGGAAAGGAAGAACAGGAAGGACACAGAGAGCACAGACAGTTTGCGCATTTCTACAGTTCTTGTTTTGCATCTTGGCCACTGTCATTCAAAGTCAGTTGCTTCAACAGAATTTGACTCGGTTTTCCATCAAGTATACTTTGGTCTACCATCTAGCCTTAACATACATATTACATCGCTTTCTACCCCATCTTGAAAGCTAGTGGCCTTCTGCCTGTTTTCCCTGGCTCTTGGGACTCTTTAGAATTCTCATTATGAACTTTTCTCCCTTCCAGGTGTGCAAGGCAATTTGTGGACGGATTATTTAATGTGGCCAGCTCTTCACTGGTATATACAGATGTACAACAAATTAATGTAATTTAAACAATGGTATTAAATGATTGTGTATTTGATAATGGATAAATCCATGGGATCTGAAGTAAACTGACTGCAAATTGTACATACCCTGGAGCACATCACCTAATGTTTGCATCCGTCCCTCCCTCCCTTATACTTTTTTTCCCCTATCATCTCATAACTGGGAAAAGGAAATCATTCTTAAAGCAGCGTTTCAATCTGGACTTTTCTAAAAAACATATTGCGCATTTACTAAGACCATTATTTAGTTTTGCAGCTATAATTCTAGAAAGACATAGAGTGTAAACCGCTCACGTGTATTTATCTTCTGGAGTGAGATGTGCTTTTCCAACTGTCTGCGAAGTTTAACTTCTGCACCATATTTTCCTGTGGTCCCATTATCAGCCAAGATAAAATGAGAATGCATGCTGTTGAGTACTGTCAGTTTACTCATTGGGTTGGACATGGTTTGGTACGGCCGGACCACCTGCATAAGAGAGAAAAGTAAAGAATGCCACCATAGGGAAAAACAGTGTGGAATAGCTAATAAAAGACTAGAGATAATAAGCTGATAGCAAGGTGTCAAAATTGTTCTTACTTGCTAAATCCAAGTACTATTGGGAAGTTTCAAATACAAATAAATCTGTAAGTCAAATTCCAGTTTCCTTTTTTCGCATTTCAAAGGGAAGAATATTTATATTAGCTCCTTCACTAACTATATATATATATGTATGTATGTATATATATGTATATATATTTGTTTGGAAATCAGTAAATGAGCACAGAATTATGTTTATAATAGTACACTATGCATTCTAAATGCATTTTTAGCATTGGTAAAAAACCCCTCAACATTTGGAGGCCTTTCTATTTAAATCTCCCCCACTCACTAGGTTACATACTTTACTCCCCATTAATCTTACTTCTGGTGTGCCAATTTAGTCGAGCAGAAAAGTATTGATTGATGATGTTTTTTGATAATGTTGAATTGTGGATTATTTTATACTGTGTCTTATATTTTGCACCTTGTTTTTTGCTATGTTGTACACCGCAGTGAGTCGCCCCTGGGCTGAGAACTGCGGTATATAAGCGAAGTAAATAAATAAATAAATAAATAAATAAATAAATAAAGGAATAGCAACAGAATATGCATCATTTCCTCTTTTTGAGTCCCATTTTGGTTGAAAAAGTTAGAGCTGTTTACTCTGCCCCATCTAGTTTTATTTTGGACTTTTTTTTTAGCATGCCAGGGAAAGCATTCTATTACTGGCATACATGTGTAAGTATGGATTATGTGCATGTATGTATTTCTTTGAATCAGGTGTATGGAGATATTCTATAGACCTTTGTGCTTCATCAAAAATCACCTCTCAGGGCTGTTAAGTTTTGGGAAGGGTGCTCTGATTGCTTATTGATGTTGGATACTGTTTATGACAAGACTATAATACAGATGGGGGATGGTTACAAAAACTTTGCAAAATAGATTTTCTTATATTTCATCCAAAAGTTGCTCTTTTCAAGACAGTATGAATGTAGCAATACAAGGAACAGCAACATCCTTTTTGCATTACTAATTTGGACATCCTTTTAAGAATTGATGAAAGCAGTCAGTAGAAAACAACTTTAAAAAAATGGAACATTGTTTTTGTGTTAAATCAAAAGAACATATATCTATTTTAAAAGCACTTGTTTGCAAATATAATCGCTTGGCAAAAATTCCATAACGGTGAACCATCTTTCTTTGTTCTTTAGATGTCAGCACTTGCTGAGCATTTGTTTGTCCTTTATAGATAAAACAAAACTTCCACAGTCTTCTGTTTTTCTTGAAATATGCCATCATACAGAGCAGAACAAAAAGACTTAAACATTTGCCAGAAAAAGAGAATAATCAACTTTGAAAATAATAAGCAGACAACTTGCAAAAACTCTGTAATGGCAGTACTGGCCAGTACTGCAGAAACAAGACTGGATGTAGCAAAAGTAAGTTCATTCTCTATTATGTTAGCAAGATGTAAATATTAATAAAGAATTATTTTATATGGGAAAATTCATAGTAGCTGCTGGTTTCTTCACTGTTTTCCATGTCTAGCTGTTGGATATGTGTACTGAATTCCATTATGTGAATCTGTGGTGAGATGACTTAGTGCCAATTAGTTGTCTGCAATGTGAAAGAATCCACTCTTTTCCTTATCATTGGTGATTGCCTTGGAAGATGTGAGGTGGTTTTTGTCTCAAGATCACTTCCTCAGTAAAGAGTGCTAAAACACCTTGTGATCCCTCCAAGAGATCAGTCTGGGACAGTGGTTCTTAACTTGTGAGTCCCCAGATGTTTTGGCCTTCAACTCCAGAGATCCTAACAGCTGGTAAACTGGCTGGGATTTCTGGGAGTTGTAGGCCAAAACACCTGGGAACCCACAGGTTGAGAACCACTAGTCTAGGCTGAACTGCAGAGTCCTATAATGAGGTTCCGAGTCTAGAAGTCAACCAGTTGGAAGACCTGGCTTACATAGGTTGACAAATCCAATCTGTGCCTGCATGTCCACGTTGTTTGCAGATTCCTGTAGTTAATAAAGTTGTGGCAAGATTCATTTCTGACATTGGTTTCTCACACTTATTGAAGCACCCAGAAACAGGCAACTGTCAGGTACTTTATTTCCAGGAACAGTATGAGATTGAATGAGAAGGTTGTTGTGGTCCTTGTTTACAAGACAAATTTAGCTGCTGGCAGATCTAGTCATTTTCTATACTGTATTGAAAACCTACATGTCAGTTTCACTTTCTAACTGAAAGGTAATGTTCCTTCCAATTATTATCCTCAGACAAGAAAACCACAGAAGAAAGGAGTTATAGTTCATTATACAGACATGACTGTTACAATGTCAAATACATTTTAAACATTGTGTCTGGAGATTCAGTACTGATTTTAATTTCTAAGGATACATGCTTCCAGCACAGTCTATGGGACCTTCCACACTGCCATATAACCCAGAATATCAAGACAGAGTATTAAGGCAGAAAATCCCACAATATCTGCTTTGAACTGGGTTATCTGAGTCCACACTGCCATACATTCCAGTTCAAAGCAGAAAATGTGGGATTTTATTCAGCTGTGTGGATCAAGCCTTAGTTAGTGAGATATAACATACAGCCTAACACATATGTGTGCCTGTATGACAGGGAGTCAATTAGATATGGGTCTCAGAATGTAAACATGTTAGAACATTGTTCTTTATGGTTCTAAAAAGTAAAGGCTAAATGACCCTATGATTAAAAGAGAGCTATAAGTCACTACCTCTCACTAAACCCACATTGCACACGGACATTTCACTAACACTTTCTCCTCTCCATGACATGACCCCCAACTTATACACAGGTCATACCAAAATTCATAAATATGGCCTCAAGACCAGACCTCTATGCATGAGGTCAATATATACAGAGTACTTATTTAAAAAGTGGTTTATGATCTGACAGTGAGTACCACAGCAACACTACCACCCTAGCCATTTTATATATATGCATATACACACACAAATATTTTGTAGTTTTACAAAATATCAATCTGTTGTACAAAACAGCCTTAACAGTTCTTTATGTGTTATTTGATACATTCCACTTTAATTCAATAGGCTGTTGACATAAGTCTTCTTATATACATTTTTTTCAAAAATTAACCTTTAACTATGCATCTTTACTTAGAAGTAAGTCCCATTGAACCTGATGGATCTTGCTTCCTGGCAAGCATGCTTAAGCTTGTAATTTTTTTAATGTAAAAATTTTACATTTCTTCATAACTAGCTGAAAATGGAAATCTGGGCAATCACACCCCTAATTAAAAAACGCAAGGTTCTCTACCTTCAGAAGGCTATCTAGGAAAACTCGGTTTAGGAAGTTAAAGAAAGGTCATTGGTGAAAAAGCAAGAATGGGGAAGCAGACAAGTGGAGATCGAATAGTAAGTTAGTATTGTACTAAATTTCTGTGTCTCTTAGGGTACAAATTGGGTGAAGCTGGAGCAGGGGAGAAAACTATCTGCACACCTGTTTATTACATTTTTATTACAGCTGGGCTTCTGTGATGCAAGATGGATAATAAATAACATAATTCAATTAATTTAAAATAAACAATTACCTATTCTGTATTGTATTGATTTATAAACTCTTTCCTATTGGAGGGGTCTATGAAACTTTGCTTCAGATAGCACTCTCTTCCATGTGTTATCGAAGGCTTTCATGGCCCTGAATCACTGGGTTGTTGTAGGTTTTTCAGGCTGTATGGCCATGTACTAGAAGTATTCTCTCCTAACGTTTTGCCTGCATCTATGGCAGGCATCCTCAGAGGTAGTGAGGTCAGAACTAACAATCTCTGAGGATGGCTGCCATAGATGCAGGCAAAACATCAGGAGAGAATACTTCTAGAACATGCCCATACAGCCCGAAAAACCTACAACAATCCATTCTCTCTTCCCTTTCATCAGAATGTTTTTATTGCACCTTCATTGTTAATTTTAAAGTATTTTATAACTTGATAGAGTAGTACTGGTTGAATATTCCTTATCTGGGATGATCTGGATCATCCCTTATCTGGGATGATCTGGACTGATCTGTATTTCAGATTTTTTTAAAAAATTGAAATATTTGCATATACATAATGAGATACCATGGAAGCAGTACCCAAAATTAAACTTGTAATTTGTTTATCTTTCCTATACACCTTATAACACAGAGCCTGGTGATAATTCTAGGCCCACTATTTTGAATAAAATTTGTACATGGAACAAAATTTGTGTGTATTGAACCATTGCAAAGCAAAGGTGTCACTATTTCAGGCTTCAGTGGACTTTGGTTTTTGGAATTCCAGATAAGAGGTACTTAAATATCTTCCGTCAGTTTTAGAAATGTATCCATAGCAGGCATAACACTCACACCTGTTTTGAATGCTTAGTTCTATGCCACATATAGAAAAAAAAACATAGTCTGAACATTAGATGAACTAAGGAAATGCAGGAAATGAAGCCTGAAGTCTTACTAGAAGCTGACTAAACAGAAATTTCCATACTTTAAACATATCGTGAGACTCACTGGAAAGAACAATAAGGTTGGAAAAAGTAGAAGGCAGTAGAAAAAAAGGAAGATTGCATTTAAAGTGGAGAATTCAAAGAAAGCAATGTACAACAAGATCTTATGGCACTTTAGAGACTACAGATGAAGTTTGTAGCATAAACTTTCATATACTATCTACTTCTCCAGATGCATGGATGAGCAGGATAGTTGATGACCTTGCAGATCTCTCAGTCATAGAGTTACCATAATAACAGCAACGACCCACTCACAAGCTATAGTAGGGTCCCTTAGCTTCCTCTCTTCCCTTTACTGAAGTGTGACAGTTTCTGGAGATTTGTCAACATTCTTTCTAAGTGTCCATAAGAGTTCTTAAGACTTTGAAAGTCACCCAAAAGCAAATGACTGCAAAATCATTGTTGCTGAACACAGATGTAGAACTAGTCAGTTACACTGTAGAACATAAATAGATACAGGCAGAAACAGAGCAGGAGTCTCATCTCTGGAATTGCCATTGTGAGTGAGGCATTGGTGAGTCCTTTGGGCTGAAAGCAATGAGAGATTCCTAGTCAACTATGCATTTCACTTGGTTATCTTTGGTCATTCACCACCTCATCTTAACCTACCTCAAAGGGCCACTCTGAGAATAAAGGAGAGAAATTATGCATACTGCCCAGAGATAGGTGAAGGAAGGACAAGATAAATATGTAACAAAAATACATTCTGCACACAAAGGGAATGTTTTGACAGTTTTTCTGTTTTGATGGTAACTTAACTAGACACTCAGAGCCCACTTATGGTGTTACAAGAGTGATCTGAATTTGATAAGTCTTTGACTGTACTTTGTTTTAATCCAAAAAAATTATTTTTGCACAGGCACTTCTTTCACTGTATGCTTGGTCACTGCTTTTCAACTGAATTAATTTATTTGTTACTATAACACAGAGGTCCCAACCTTTGGGCTGCAAGGTGTTTTGGACTTCAACTCCCAGAAATCCCAGCCAGTTTACCAGCCATTAGGAACTGTGGGAGCTAACATCCAAAACACCTAGAGACCCAAAGGTTGGGAACCACTGCATAACATAATGTCTCTTCTTGTTTCCTATTTTGCAAATAGCAGAAAATTTACCAAATGCAGAATTAAATCTATTGAACATTTGCAAAAATATTATATTTAAATATTGAAAACAAATGAGACCTAGGAAAAATTTTAAAGACCTAAGTTCCATAAACTGTTTTTATGCCACCCTAAAATGATCTAAGGTGGCGCAGGACTTGCATTTTGATTTGGTATAATCAACTGTTGCTGCTGCTGCTGCTATTGTGCACCTTCAGGTCATGTATAACTTATGGCAACCCAAACATGTGATTTTCTGAGGCTTAGAGTTTGATTTACCCAAGGTCACCTAGTGGATTTTCATGCCCAAGTGGTATTTGAATGCTGTTCTCTATAGTATATTGCTCAAGCTTCTATGCCACACTGGCTCTGAAGTAACATGGTTAATTCCTTGAAATTTCTCACCACAAAGTATTATGTGGGTGTGTTTTCTAGGAATAGTTTTAAAAGCAATAAAAAACCTTTATGCAAACTTCACAATATAGTTGTTACAAATGTAAAATGCACCAGCTCAGTCTTTGTCACCAAGGAAGTACAAGTGACTCATTACAAAGGGCTGCCAGGAAAAATTAATGTTACTGTTGAGATCACTTCTACTCCTTTTCGTAAAACTGAGCTTGTGTTGTGATGACACCATCTCACAAAGTTTCCTGCTCTTAGTTTACAGCCATTGACAGTGCTGTTGCTGACATGAGTAAGGAATTCTACAAGGTGACATGAGATGTGTCCAATATGTTGTGTTTCAAGAAAACGCAAAATAATAGTGTCACACATAGATAGGAAATGTGCAGGGCAGAGGTCTGAGGAAAGACAATAATTAGATTATATGCTGTGAAGCTATCCTTAAATGTTGTTATTCTTAATTTCCTTGCATTTCATAATTTTCACAAAGCCAAAGTCACTGTTCTGTATTGCTCTGCATATTATAATCTGTTTTAATCTTGCCTATTATTCCTGAAAAGATCAACACCAAGAAAATATTGACAAAACAATATGTTGTAGATAAGCCAGAGACTTACATCTTTTCCAACCAGATCCTCTTGGTTTTCTACAATTCCCCAGGGAGCTATTCCAATAGTGCAGATCTTCCCTCTAGACTTTGAGGCATGGTCTTTCAGTGCATCCCCAACATGACGAATGACTCCTGGATGGAAAAAAAAGACATCCAAGGACATGGTAGTGCCTAAGATGTCAAATATACAACACCTGTTGCAGTTTCCTCTTTTACACAACAATTAAAGGGACAATGACCTCAATCCCGGATTTCACCTGGTGATCCTAATTCAGTCAATGCTGCTTTAATTTACATACCTCCTAAAAATGAATAATTAAATTCTGTTTTGTATCTGAATCCAAAGTATATCCTTATTCAAGCCTACTTTTGCCCATAGAGACAACATCTGTGGCATGGTTTTCTTTTTTAAAAGAATAAGATGTGACTTCTGGATTATTTCCTGTTGTAAAAATGCCCCTTTTTGAGTGTTGCAGGGCATTTGGGATCAGTGTATCCCAGTTTTCCTGTTGTGACAGTGCAACAAGGGGACTGCTATCCTTTAAGGCAAAGCTTTCTGAACATTAATGTTGTTGACTCACCCTTTTAGATATGCATCATTTTGCAACACAGTAATTGAGTTTTACTAGCAACCCCTTGTAAGAGATACACACACACACACTGTAATAATGAAATGTATGGGAACAAAACATATCTCATGAAAACCTTTCATTTTTAAAAAATATGATTGATTGCTTATTTCACATAGACTCACACGTGATGCACCTACACACTTGAGTTGACACATTAATGTGTCATGACACACAGTTTGGAAAGCTCTGCTCTAGGCAGGGGAGTTATGTGAGTTCATGAACCCCAGTAGTTTTTCACTTCTGATTGTGTAGAAGAATGTATTTAAGCAGGTTGTGCTTGCAGACTTTTTAATTAGTCCCTCTGTATATTCTACAATCACCTAGGGCTGCATTAAACCAACCTCATATTCACAGATTCCTGCTCTTTCCAGCAACTCTCTATAGCTCCAACCAGAGAATAATCAAACAAATCAGATGTGCAACAGTTCTGTACTGAGAGTATAAACCTTTGTACTGAGATTGGAGACTATGTCATTGATGCCACTTTCTTCTGAGTAAAATCACACATTATTCAATGCATTTTTGTATTCAACATACACATATTTAAATATTCAGATAGGCATGGTGGTAAGACTGAACAGAATTCGAACAATGACAAGCAGTTTAACACCTCTCCATTCTAACAATATTGCTACTAGGAGCTTTTCCCCCAATGCAAACACAAACCTTTCAAAAGGTTACCACTACCTTTACCTGCTGTGGTTAGCTTTTTATAAAATTATGCATATCAAATGAAAAGCTTAATGAAACATTTAGACTGAAAGGTCAGGACAGAAATATAATATGCAGCTATAATGTCACTGATTTCCTTGAATGCAAGTTCTATCACGGATCTTGTAAACATCTATACAAATACTGCAAGAATATCCCCCGCCAGACTGCTGTTACCTGTGTTTACTCCTCCAGTGAATATCCATGCTCCTGTTGTCATGGCTGCTTTAATGAGGCCTTTCCCAAAGACTTGCTTGAGTTTTGGCTGAAGTTCAAAATTCTGGAGCCCTCCATGCACAGAGATGAGGAGTTTGGGAAGTTCAAGCTGCCATTCCTTGGTCATCAAGTGTAAAAGAAGATCAGGTTTTGTGTCAAAAGACACACGCACATACTACAGAAAAAACATGGTAGTTCAAAACAAATGGAAGAAAAAGTGAAGAAAAGGGTAATAAACATTATTCCTATCTTCTCTAACTCTTAGCAACATTGGTGCATTTTTGCTTGTATTTTTTGCTGTCAACAGCCTTCCTTAAAATTATGTCAGTATTTTCTGACTTTACTAAATTTTTGTACAACAGATCTTGTTCAGAAGCTAATACAGAACTACAGCTCAGATATATTAGTATGAATGACACATCAGCAAATATATAGTCTGCCAGCAGAGGAAAGTGAACAAATTAAAATAGAAATGTTGATTTAAAGAGAGTAGGATGCTTTTACAATTTGATTTTCTATGAAATTGTTACATAATATGGCAACCAAAGAACTTCAAAACTAACTCAACTGTCAGCAAAATTTGAATCACTCATTTTAAAATGGCACCCACACAGCAAACTGGTGTTGAACTCTCGAAAAATTGCAAGGCTATGGAATCGGTATCTTGTTGTGATGAGTTGCCTTAAGCAAGTCATTGGTTGCATATGAACACAAATATAAAATAAAGTACCATTTTGTGAAATGTTATAATTGAACCTTGCATTCATTTCCTATCCCTACCCTCTTGCTCATTCCTGTGGAGAAGATAAGAAGACTTTGTTCTGATTTTCAATGTTTATTTATTTATTGCATTTCTATGTTGCCTTTCTCAGCAAGGCGATTTACACTGGCACAATTAGATGTCACAATGAACATAAACAAAATTGGGTTCTTGTAGGTTTTTTCGGGCTATATGGCCCGAAAAAAGTAAACAAAATTAAAACAAAATTTAAAACAATTAACACACATTATAAAAACGCTGTAAAACATTAAAAGCACAAAACACCAGTAACTTCCTATTAGCTCATCTTCCAAATACATTGTCAAGCTGTTCCGTGCTCATTGTTTCCTGGGTTCCATATTCACCCACTACACTGTGTTTTCCAAGGCTTGTTCAAAAAGCCAGGTTTTTAATTTTTTTGGAATGTTAGTAGGGAGGGGGCCAATCTAATATCCCTAGGGAGGGAGTTCCATAGCTGAGGAGCCATCACTGAAAAGGCCCTGGGACATGGCCTTCTCAGTGGTGGCTCCTCGGCTATGGAACTCCCTCCCTAGGAATATATCCAAATCCAAACTATGGCAAGTCTTAGCCAAATTTTGTTAAAACAGGAAAATTCAAATACTGGTTTAGGGAGTTGCCTTGTTTCAATTCAGATGCATCTATTCCGCAGAATTAATACCATTTGATACCATTTTAACTGCTATGGCTCAATGCAATGGAATTGAAGGGCCCTTCCAGAAAGGTCCTATATCCCAGGATTTGATGCCAGGTATTCTGCTTGAAACTGGATTATATGAGTTCGCACTGCCAGATAATCTGGGATAAACAGAAAACCTGGGATCAGATCCTGGGATATAGAGCCTGTCTGGAAGGGACCTTAGTGTAGTTTGGTGAAGCACCAGTACTCTAAATAGTGAATACCATGTAAAATTACAACCCCCATGATTCCATAGCTTTGAGCTATAGCAGTTAAAGTGCTGTTAAACTGCATTCATTCATGAATTGTAAACTCATGTCCTGTGTTTTGGTCTCTGTCCTGTTTGATCAATGTGTATTTTATAGAAATGCTTTGATATGTAGGTTGTTTATGACCTATGGCAATCCTAAAGCTATCTGAGGATTTTCTTGGCAAGATTTATTCAGAAGCAGATTGCCGTTTGCCATCCTCTGAAGTTAAAAAGAGTGGTTTTTCCCAAGGTCATCCAGGGGGTTTTGTGGCCAACCAGGGATTCAATCCCTAGTCTCCAGAGTCACAGTCCAGTGCAGAAACCACAACACCATGCTGGCTCCTTCTTAATGTCTGCAGGACTTCAATTAAAACCCATAGGTAGTTGGAGATGCTGGCATAGCATTATCAAGTTGAATAAATTTCATTAGAATCAAAGGGTTGCTGTATAGTTTTGACATGTAAGAGAACCATGTTTCTTATTACTGTAGTATTTCATGACTTTGAAGAATTTGGATTTTTAAGCCTCAAATGTAATTTTATAATGACTGGAATGGAAAGAAAGACTTTTGAGAGTGGTAATACAGTACAACAGAATAGGAAGGACAAGAGACCTCTTCCAGAAAATTAGAAACATTGGAGGTAAATTTCAGGCAAAAATTGGTATGATAAGAAACAAAGATGGCAGGGACCTAACAGAAGCTGAAGAGATCAAGAGAAGGTGGCGAGACTATACAGAAGATCTGTATAGGAAGGATAATAATATTGAGGATAGTTTTGACGGTGTGGTGAATGAATTAGAACCAGACATCCTGAGGAGTGAGGTTGAATGGGCCTTAAGGAGCATTGCTAACAACAAGGCAGCAGGAGATGACGGGATCCCAGCTGAACTGTTTAAAATCTTAAAAGATGATGCTGTCAAGGTGATGCATGCCATTTGCCAGCAAATATGGAAAACACAAGAATGGCCATCAGACTGGAAAAAATCAACTTATATCCCCATACCAAAAAAGGGAAATGCGAAAGACTGCTCAAACTTCCGTACAGTGGCCTTATTTCTCATGCCAGTAAGGTAATGCTCAAGATCCTGCAAGGAAGACTCCAGCAATACATGGAGCGAGAGTTGCCAGATGTTCAAGCTGGGTTTAGAAAAGGTAGAGCGAACGAGAGACCAAATTGCCAATATCCGCTGGATAATGGAGAAAGGCAGGGAGTTTCAGAAAAACATCTACTTCTGCTTCATTGACTATTCTAAAGCCTTTGACTGTGTGGATCATAATAAATTGTGGCAAGTTCTTGTGGGATGGGCATCCCAAGCCACCTTGTCTCTCTCCTGAGGAATCTGTACAAGGACCAAGTAGCAACAGTCAGAACTGACCATGGAACAACAGACTGGTTCAAGATTGGGAAAGGCGTACGGCAAGGCTGCATCCTCTCACCCAACCTTTTTAACTTGTATGCAGAACACATCATGCGATGTGCGGGGCTGGATGAATGCAAGGCTGGGGTGAAAATTGCTGGAAGAAACATTAACAACCTCAGATATGCAGATGACACCACACTGATGGCCGAAAGCGAGGAGGAGCTGAGGAGCCTTCTAATCAAGGTGAAAGAAGAAAGCGCAAAAGCCGGGTTGCAGCTAAACATCAAAAAAACCAAGATTATGGCAACAAGAATGATTGACAACTGGGAAATAGAAGGAGAAAACGTGGAGGCCGTGACAGACTTTGTATTTCTAGGTGCAAAGATTACTGCAGATGCAGACTGTGGCCAGGAAATCAGGAGACGCTTACTTCTTGGGAGGAGAGCAATGTCCAGTCTCATAAAATAGTAAAGAGTAGAGACATCACACTGGCAACAAAGATCCGCATAGTCAAAGCAATGGTATTCCCTGTAGTAACCTACGGATGTGAGAGCTGGACCTTAGGGAAGGCTGAGCGAAGGAAGATCGATGCTTTTGAGCTGTGGTGTTGGAGGAAAGTTCTGAGAGTGCCTTGGACTGCGAGAAGATCCAACCAGTCCATCCTCCAGGAAATAAAGCCCGACTGCTCACTGGAGGGAAAGATACTAGAGACAAAGTTGAAGTACTTTGGCCACATCATGAGGAGACAGCAAAGCCTGGAGAAGACAATTATGCTGGGGAAAGTGGAAGGCAAAAGGAAGAGGGGCCGACCAAGGGCAAGATGGATGGATGGCATCCTTGAAGTGACTGGACTGACCTTGAAGGGAGCTGGGGGTGGTAACGGCCGACAGGGAGCTCTGGCGTGGGCTGGTCCATGAGGTCACGAAGAGTCGGAGACGACTGAACGAATGAACAACAACAACAATACAGTACTTGGGCAAATCCCAGTTACCTTTCTAGTTCAGTTCAAACTGCAATATTTACCTTATAAGTAGTTGACATCAAATTCTTGTTTAAGTCAACTTATTTATGGACATTAAAGGGGCTAATTACTTTAATCAATTAACAAAGCATCAGAAAAAATGTTTTAATGCCAAGAAAATCTGAGCAGAAAGTTGTTGTGTGGCGATAAAACTACTGTATAGAAAAATACAGTGTATTTATTATGCGTTCAATTTATTAATGTATATAAAATATATTTATGATGCTCTCAAGTAAAGATATCACAGCAGTGTGGTGAAGAATGTCATTGATATAGAACTACAATTAAATAGAGCACAGAGAAGGTCCACAGCTTAAACATACAGAACAGCAGACCTTTTCAAGCAGCCAGTTTTCAAAGTATGCAGTTCTAAGCTACTTTAACATTTTACAGTTGTAAAAAGATTCCCTGATTTTTGTCCCCAGATAGAAGTGGGCAGATGCTTAAAACTGGCAAGATACATTCCAGGTATGTTAATTTTGCAATATAATCTAACTATAGACTTTATGACTATATCATTGGTATGATATTTATTAGGCTTGTGCACAGATTCAATTTGGCTGGTTCCTTTCAGCTAATTCGGCTGGTCCAGCTTGTTTGGATGGCCATAATGGCAAAGGCTCAGCCTTCATGTCTTTTTGGCTGCAATAGAACAGTGGCTGTTGAAAACCAGCTGCCTTCGGTTACAAGTAGAGTGGGGGGGGGGGGGGGAGGCACCACTTCAGGGCCTGCAAATCAAGAGAAAAGGGAGGGCTTTTAAAAGGAAACTCGGGGTAGGATAGATCCAGATTGATCACCCTTCCTTCCCTAGGAAGTGGGGAAGCCTCCTTAAAATGCCTTGGAAAGCTGTGTGGAGAGAATACTACACGCACCTGCAGTGACTGTCTCCTCTAGAGTAGAGACAGCTTTAACTGAGCATTAAACCCGGTCTCCTCTACAGACAAAAGGGAAAGGATCACAGAAAGAGTGATATCTTAACTTTGATGCTTTTAGTCCAGGTCTTAATGAAGGATATAAGGACTAACAATGCCTAAAATGAAGGGAAGGGGAACTTGGAAAGTCTCCCCATAATGGGCCAGATAGAAAATGAATCTTTCAACTCTCCTCCCGAATTTGGTAGGCTCCTGAAAAATGGATTGGGACCCCCACCAAAGTCAGGACCCCAAAACAGATCTCAGTTTACCCTGATTGCATAAGCCAAATATTTATTACTTTTTTGTTCTTTGTTTTTTCTCCAACCCTCCTTTTAACAAAGATTCTAATTATGAGGAATTCAGAATCTTGCACATTGCAAACTAATTGGGATGTTTTGTTTTAACATAATGAAGTGAATACTCAACTGTGAATTTTGTAATTTTGTCTTATGAACCAAGTTGTCCATGTTTGCTCTGTGCATGGAAGAAAAGTGCCTCTAATAATTAAACAACATGCAGGAAACAGAATGTTATGTGCAGAAAATAACATTATCTGGGTGGAAAATAGTATTTCAACACAGAAGTATAAACTCGTTTTCAGAAAATGCTATAATTTCAGATTTGTACTGCATAAAATTTGCACATGGTTAATTGGCACAGAAAACTCAATTTTCTGCACAGAAAACTGTTTATTTTTCAGCAGGAATTAATATTTCTGTGTCAAATTATTTAATGCAGATTTTATTTTCTGTGGAAACAACCACAAGTGATTTTTCAAATGGAAAACAACTACATGCCTGGTTTTCAAGCATGTTTTTACAATGGGAAGAAAATTTATGAAGTTAATTGTCACTACTTTTGAGAAGAAACTTAGTTTACATTCACAGTGTTGTAAGCTACTGACATCCTTATTACAATCGTGCTATAGATATATTCACTCTGCAGTATTTTATGTTCAGTTTAATTTTGGATTCAGTGACAATCTGTTTCCTATTTACTTACATCTCCAACCAAATGTTTGCAAGATCAGAAATGGTCAAAGGTTATGGAGAGCTACTTATACACAATATTATACACAGGGATGTGCAGGTATTTGCATTTTACATGATCTATAAGTCTAAAAGGTATGGCCTTCCTCAATAAAAAAAAATCAAGAGTTAATTCACATGCTTAGGAATCCCATAGTTTGTACTTTTGTGAGGCATTAGTGGAGAATCCTAAATATCAATCCATAAACTGCAAATAGAGAAACAGTGTGACATAGTAGCTTCAATTCTCTACTCTGAAACTACTGGGTGACTTTGGGCACGTTACATGCTCCTAGTCTCAAAGAACGGCAAAGGCAAACCCCTTCTAAATAAATTTTGTCAAGAAAAACTCATGAAAGCGTCAGAAAGGACATGAACACACACAAAAACAACAAATGGCAAACTCCAGGGTTCTGAGGGATGGAATCTGACAATTAAAGTGGAATCATGGAATTATAATTATATTATATAGCTTCAGTTCTACTATCTATGACACAACTTTCACCTGCTGTTGATGCTATTCCCAGCAACACAGCCCAAGTCCATCTGTTTCTACTATTCATGAAGCACTGTGTCCCTCTTCTCCCGAGCTGGTCATTGACTGTAATAAAGTGAACTTGAACTTAAACTTGAACTACTATTCATGAATGACAAGGGATGACATGTTTATTTCCAGTTATATTCCCCCACCCCTCAAAAGTTGGCATATTTTGTTAGAATGTGTTTGAGAGGAAGTTAGAAAGGATGTAAAGAACACAGTTGACTTGCTGGGCTAAGGTAGCTAGGTAAAAGGTATGATGTTTGCTGACATATACCGTGTTCAGGGAAAGCAATGTGCTGGAGAGCCTTAAACTGGGCCAAACATAACAAATGGGAAAGGGTCACTAGGCTTGAGGAAGTGTGGCATTTTACTGTCAACACTAAATTGACTTTTTTGGCTCTGTAGAAGGGTTCCCTGCAGCAGAAATATGCTTCATTGGAAGAGGACTGATGCATTGTATTCTGGAATCAGACAATTAAATTGTATCAGTTCATGTATGCATTTTGTTGAATAAGCAAACTGGTTGTGCTGATAAAAAATATAATTCAATCTTCTCAAAACAGTGTATCTTTCTTTGGCAAGAATAAATTACTTTTTCTATGATAAGCAGAAAGTCTCAGAAATCACACATGGAAAACCACATTCATTTTCAAAGTTACATCAGTATCTAATAGAGCCTTTTTTTTTCTTGGATGCTTGACAGGCTGAAGTCTTTCCTTCTCCTTTAATAAATACAAAACACTGCATTGCAGAAAGAACTTGGTTGTTTTATATTAAAGAACATATATTCAATAAAGAGTTTTGTTACATTTCCCTCCTTTTGCCTGTGGAAAGCAGTGGGGGTTGATCTGCCTAGTCAACTCTCATGAAATGAACAAAACATATTAGAGGATTTTTATCTGCAGTGAGTTTCATTTTTGCAGTAATATCTGTATCTCACTCTCTTTGGCCACATTATTTCCTGGCACCAGGCTCAAACTGATTGAAGAAAAGGTTCATTTACAATGAGCAGTACACTCTAATATTTAGCAAGGGCATGAACATGGAGCTAAATGTAAAATGGAACAGATTCCCTTCTGCACTATTAGCACTTGCCTTACATTTTTAGAAAATATTGGAAACAGGGTGAATGGCTCATTTGAGGTGAACAGATCAGAAGGCAGAAACAATGCAATGCTGCCAAAAATACTAACTATGCAGATTTCTGCTGTCCCTTTATTCTAAAATATACATAGTATAACTTACCTCATACCCAGGTATTATGATAACCAATCCCATCTTCCCATCTACAATTGCTCTCATTATCACTTCAACCAACTATGAAGTACATTGAGAAAGCATCCAACAATGTCACCAGGCTTCTGTAATTGCTAGAGGCAATCCCTCCATTTTATACAGCTCTCCCATGGGGCAAGTGCCCCCCAAAGGGCTCCTGATTTGGGAAAAGAGTGGAGAGGCCAAAAACGAACCAATGTTTCTGGAAACAATGCACTGGATTGAGGAAGTTCTCTAATATCAAGTCAGACCACTAGCCAACTTATCTCAGTACTGTTGACACTACTGTCAATGGCTCTCGGGAGATTCAGGCTAGAACCTTTCCTTGACCTACATGGAATTTGTGGATATTTAGCCTGCAGTCATTTGCATATGAGGCAAAACCTTTATGTATTTTATAGTCTTGGTGCCAACTGTAAACCGTCCCGAGTCGCCTGAGGGCTGAGAGGGACGGTATATAAATGCAGTAAATAAATAAATAAATAAATAAATTTATTTCTCATATTTTTCTTGCTACACCTGTTGTTTTCCACATTAGCTATTGCAGGTTAAGCTCCTTGGATTCAAGAATTATCAACATTGCCCATGTAAGACATCATATTGAATAGTGTTCTGTGGAATAACCATGGTAGTTGTAAATAAAATAAGAGTTTTTGGAAAATGTGTCAAATACTAATGCATTTATTACCATGTACCATGAGGTTTCCCACTTCATCTACAGCATGGATTGTTGCTCTAACCATTAACAAAATTGCAGGAAGAGTATTGTGAATAACTATTGTTAATAGTGTAATTGTCACTGTCAGTTTTTTATGCATTTAGTTTGGCTTCATTGTCCATACATTCATCCCAAAAAACTATAAAAACACACATATACAGAAGATGATGGAGAAAAGTTATATTCTGACACAATATATTTAATTACCATGGCTTTATTCGAGTGACCTCCACCTTGAAACTCAATGGTTCCGAAGGCATCAGTGGGGCTGAGTTGTGTGTGCTTGCTGATTGACCACTTCTCTGACTGGACATCATTCCGAGAGAGCCGTCCTTCATTTTTCTCATTCTGAATGATGGTGATACTTGGAGTGAGCCCCACATGTTGACCTATTAGTCGTCCACAGCAACACCTATGAAATTAAGCACAATCACTTGAATTTCTAGGCATAATAGAAGCCTAAACTAGATTTTGCCAAACCTTGTAGGCAATAATTTCAGCCTCTAAATTATTATTTTTTACCTATAAACTAAGGTATATTTATAAATCCAATATATGGGCCACATATGAAGGTGTGGGCCCTTGCTAATGTAACAGAGAAGCCTTTAGAACTCATTTTCCAGACATCTTGTTTAACCCTTGTATGCCAGGGTTAAAACACAATAATAATGATAAATGTTTTGTGACTTGTGAAGTATTTTCTGATCCCAGTGATAATTCCAGCATGTTTCATATTTGGGCTAGGATTTAAAGGATGCCTCATTCCCAAAGAGAATACCAGTGTCTTCCCAATGAAGGATATTTCTTCTGAAATGGCTTAATTGAATGACAACCAGATGACTTCTTTTTTGGGACTCCTGTGGAGAAATGCAGGCTCCAAGACACAAATTCACCCGCAGGCTGGGCCTTGTTTAGACAAAAATAAGCACAAAAGGCAATCAGGATTGAACCCAGAAATGATATAACCATGTGCTTCAGGTTGAGAATAAGCCAGAATGTAGTGTCAAACAGAACTATCTTACGTCTATATCTCCTAGATATTAGATACCTAGGAGGCACTTGCTGCATGGTTGGCTACTAATAGACCGCATCTTCTTAGGTCTGTGTTTAAAATTTGGGGAAACTGTTTAGAAACTATTGGGGTCACAACACCACAGAATACCTGTACTGCAGATCTAATTCTGTGTGAATTCTGCAACAAAACACTACTGAAATATCCTATCCTGGTACATGAGGGTTAAAGAAAGCTGCATGTCCTGCAACTCTCTGGAATTTAGGATCCAGACGATGAGTCTGTTTTCCACAGTTCTGTTTTGTCCTGGTGGTAAGTTATTATTACAAGCAATCAGCCATATGAAATACACTCAAAGCCAATCAGGGTGCACAATAGCCAACAGGAGAAGATTTTGCATGTCAGCTCACATTTAACTGACTTGAAATCACGGCACTATAGCCTTTTCATGTCTTCTTAGAGTTGATGTGAAAAGACAATATTGCTGTGACTTCCAGCAGGTCAAATGTGAGCGGACACATTCAAACTCACTGATAATAGCAGCTGGTTGTGTTATATCAGGATGACAGATTTCTAAAGTATTTCCAATTCCATGAGATTTTTTTTAAAAAAACCCTTTGTTTTTCAATAGAAAACAGTAATAAAAGGTAATTTCAACATTGCCTCATGTTGTGCTCAAAGGCTATATTAAACTAAACATATTGGGTTGTATCCAGCTGTGTCTACCTGCCAGTGGAATGAACAGTGGATAAAATTGGTGGAATAAATTCCCTTCCCAATCTGCAGTTCCTGCTGACAAATCTGTTCCAGAGACTACAGATAAGATTTTGCTTGTACAGGAGGAGTGTGGAGGGCATCCTTTGCCTCATACAGAAGTCTTCATATGTTTGATATCACTGATTCATCTTGAAATGAAATTATTGAACCCATTATGCAGAGTAAATTCAAATAATTGAAATGAAGCTGTCATTTTAATATCAGATTTTAGGAGAATAGAAGACCTTTCATATTAAATGCTGAAGCTGCAAAAAGGTTAAGCATAGCCCAATATCACTGACAAAAACCAATGCCATTACCTATGGGGGTCTTTGGTGCTGGGTATGATGTGAACACACTCCCTTTTGCAAAATGCCCTTTCTATCCATGACTTCTGAGCCTGAAAAAGAAAAAAGTAGAACATGAATAAAATAAATTCTACAACATAACTTAACTGTTCAATCCTAATTTTTAAAGAACCATGAAGCATTTTAACAAAAGACATCCTGGTGCTGCAGAACTCAGGGACGATGTTCTCTTCTAGTCGGCACTTCTGGGAGTTCCTGCCAGGTTTGATGGATGACCTATAGCATTCATATTAACAAAATCAATAAAATATAACAAATGGAAAGAGGTAATACACCAAGTTTCTTAAAATGGTAGGGGAAATCCTTGGCGATACTATTCTTTTTTCTACTTCTTATGAAATTGCTTTTGATCATGTTGTATATTGATCACTACACACTTCTGATTTTTATTTTTAAGTCAAGGCCTCACAAAATTAGGTCTGATGCATTATTTCTAACACGAAGCAGGAAAGTATAAGGTATCACACACAATTCAAAACTTCTGAAAATGAGGAGTGCAGTTATATGGAGGAGTGATAAAGGCAGAGCAAGAACAGCTGTACTTTTTTTTTTTGTAAAGGTAGAGAAAGGATTCTAGTGCTTGGCAACCAGATTTTTTTTACCATGTTTTCTCAAAAGGTTCAATTTTTTTTAAAAAAAATACTGGACACAGCTTTTAAAAATCTAGAGTAGGTATTATGCATTCTGATAACTTCTTCAAACTTGAGTTTGATGAGACATTACAATTCTAACCCGTAAGATGGAATAAAAATGTGTGAAAAGAAGATTCACCTGCTAGAGATGATGTTTATTATCTTTGTCCAATTCTTGGGCCTAAATACAACCAGTAGTTCAAACTAAAGTAGAGCTGTTGAACCAGTCAGATTGATAAGTCAACACTGACATAATTCCCATTGATTGTAAGCCTCCCTGAGTCCTTTTGTGGAGATGGGGAGGGATACAAATAAAGTTTTTTCGAAGGCTTTCATGGCCGGAATCACTGGGTTGTTGTAGGTATTTTTTGGGCTATATGGCCATGTTCTAGAACATGGCCACATAGCCCAAAAAAACCCTACAACAACCCACAAATGAAATTGTTGTTGTTGTTGTTGTTGTTGTTGTTGTTATTATTATTATTATTGAATAGGACTAGTCTGAGACTAACATTTGGAGTTAAGCCTTACCCGATTGTGGCAGGGTCTACACTGCCATATAATGCAGTTTTAACTGTATTACTTGGCAGAATAGATCCAGCCTGAGATACAGAATGTAGTGGATTGTATGTTGGACTATGACACTGGAGACCAGGGTTTGATTCCCTGCTCAGGCATGGAAATCAATGAGTAAGTTGCATATTCTCAGCCCCAGAAAATCCTGAGAGAAAACCGTAGGGTTGCTGTAAGTTTTTCGGGCTGTATGGCCATGTTCCAGTAGCATTCTCTCCTGATGTTTCACCTGTATCTATGGCAGGCATCCTCAGAGGTTGTGAGGTCTGTTGGAAACTAGGAAAATAGGGTTTATATACCTGTGGAATGTCCAGGGTGGGAGAAAGAATTCTTGTCCATTGGAGGTAGCTGTGAATGTTTCAATTGGCCAATTGGGGTTTCCGTAAGACAGAAACAACTTAAGGTACGCATCATTATCAACAACACCAACAATGGCAACAACCTGCCTGCCTGCTTGTCTCCCCTCTATCCCTATATTCTATTCATTTCCAATAAAAATATAATAATGATAAAAAAATAACTGCTATCTTTGAAAGTTAGCTGCCCTGTTAGTTTGATGTTAGCTGCCCTGAGTCCCTATGTCAGGAGAAAAGCATGATAAAAATAAATAAAATAAGTAAATATTTACATCAGTATTAACAGTGGCATTATAAAGAGGAAGTGACATATGAATCACCACACTAGAGCAGGTACATACATCTTAATAGAAGTCTAATTGCGCCTCAAATATAATAATGTGCAAAATGCATTGAGTATCAGTGACCTTAAATTAGATTGCCTTTTGAACTTTGTAATAGTGCGTGTGTGTCTTTCTTGAAACACTATAAAATTATTTAAAGTAAACTCTCCATTAGATTAATGTGCAAGAAATAGAAAACAGTTATTACCTCTTATTCCACATTAAAGAATTATTCAAGCAAAATTGTAGCTGGCTTTCCATCTCTATAAGCCAAGAACTGTTGGACAAACTGCAGCCATTCTGAGCAGACTGATTGCTAACAAAGGCACGAATTTCCAAGTACAATGGAGACAGGTTGAGATGGGTGAGGGGTGAATAGTGAATATGCCATCTTTAGAATTTGGTGTAACATTATTAGCTTTATAATTAGCTAATTTAGAGTCAGGCTCTCCCTCTCTCAGATTACATAGAGCACAAAAATGAGATCAACTTTAGCCATTAGAGGTGCATTTTTTCTATTGTCCTTTCTGCTTGTGGCTAGAATGAAAAATAAATTGCTAAGCGAGAGACAGAAAAGAAAAATAAAACAGTATGCATTTAACACAATCACAATTAAAATTGCTAAAATTTAGGAATCATGTACTAGTGTAAGCCTCTCTGAACACAGTTTTTTTTATTGTGTCAGAAGCAAATTGAGGATATACTGCAAGTTGCTTCTGGTGTGAGAGAATTGGCCATCTGCAAAGATGTTGCTCAGGGGATGACTGGGTGTGTTACTATTCTGTGGGAGGCTTCGCTCATGTCCCCACATGGGAAGCAGGGGCTGACAGATGGGAGCTCACCCCATCTTGTGGATTCAAACTGCCAGCCTTCAGGTCCACAGTTCAGCCGGCACAAGTTCAGCCATTGCACCACTGCAGCTCCCATTCTGATCACAGTGGGATACAGTTTATGGGAAATAGGATTGTATTGTGTTTTGTATCATCAATATATTTTAAAAATTCACTAGATTGCTAGAGAAATTAAATTAAATACTATTTATAAATCACACATCCCCTTATTCTTCCTGTCGCTTTATACCACTTTGCATCATTTCCTGAAACATCTGTGTTTTTGAAATTAACTGCCATGCTCATTTCCTTCACTTGAAGGAACACTTTTTGTGTGTGCATAAAAGTACTTCAGGCTATATATGAATTTTTTACAGGGTTTTCAAATGTACTTTTCTCCTTAAATATTAGCAGAACTCTGGAGATAACAAAATTGTTTTAGAACTGACATTATATTTTAACATTCCCTCTTGACTGGAATCCAGTGGTGCAACTCTGATGGATCTAATGGAATCATCAAGAATGGTCAGCCTAGAAAAAGGGTTTTGCCACCAGAGTGGGGTAGAGGGTGTGTGTGTCCTTTTACCGCTCATACTGGATTCTGACTTATAAGACTGTATTTTGATGGATGGATTGATTGATTCATTCATTTGTGTAACTAGAAAACCAAAGATAAGTAGCCATGACATAGATGACTCTCTGTAAGTCAAATCACAAGTCAAAATATAATTTCAAAATTAATTATCAGCAAAATTCTACTATGAAATTTGTATGCTTTGTAGCATTGTTTAACACAAAAGTAAACTCTGAATTTGTGGAACCTTGTAAGAACTATTTAACAAGTATTTAAAATGGCAAACTAAATGTAATGAGAACCAGCATAGTATTGGACTATGATTCTGGAGACCATGTTTCAAATCCTCATTTGACCATGGAAACCCATTGGGTGACCTTCGGCAAGTCACATTCTCTCAGCCTCAGAGTACACAAAAGCAACCTCCCTTCCCTCCAAAAATTCTGCCAAGAAAACCCCGTGATAGGTTAGCTTTAGGGATGCCATAGGTCAGAAACGACTTGTAGTCGCACAATAACAACAAAAATGCATGGTATTATACTTCGCATTTGGTCATATATCTGAGTATTCTTCACCCAGAAAATAACATTATCAAACTTTAATTAATATCTAGGTTTGCCTCCAACTGGCCTATCTTATAATGTATTACATTTTGTGAAGTTCTGTAAGCTCTGAAGATCCTAGAAACATTAATTGTATTCACTATGAAAAATACTTATTTTAGCTCAGTGGGATTTTATTCCAAACTAAAGGAAGAAACACACAGGATTGCTCATTTATAGAGAATATGTCATGGGAAACATTACATAGTATTAGTTGATAGCATTTAAAATGACATAATAAATATAATAATAATAATAATAATAATAATAATAATATCACATAATAAATAGCAGTTGACAAACATTTTGGTTTCCGCAGTGGGTTTTTACAAAAATCACTTAAGATCTACATTATTTAGGATTAAGTCTAATTGCTCACACACTAAGTGTGACTTACGGTGCATCTACATTGTAGAATTAATGCTGTTTGACACCACTTTAACTACCATGGCTCAATACTATCATGGGATTTGTAGTTTGTTGAGGCACCAGCACTCTTTGGCAGAAAAGGCTAAGTACTCTTAGTCTGAATTTAACTCATACTGTGCTATTACTATATTACAGTACAAATAAGTGATAGCTGGGATTCTTAAAAACATGTATTGCTCGTTCTCGTTGGGTGAATAGTCCTATGAAAGGATTAACACTAATGATTCACTTAAAAATTCTTAAAATGTAAAGATCCTCTTGTTTTATTGAATATTATCTGTTCACTCATATAGTTTAATATTTAGTTGGCTGAAATGTTTAGAGCTGTTTTCCCCTCCATAAACACAAAATTACATTTGTTAGTTAAATTTCCTTGGATATATGCCTAAACAATTTTCGAGGTACTCAGAAGCTGTTACCTTATCTAAACTGACGGATCCTCCTAAATTCATTTTAGTGCACATATGAGATTTTATGGAAATTACTTTAAGTTGTCTGTGGTGAATTTGCTGATTAGATATTCTTGGAGAACTGCCTGTAAAATGGAATGTAGATGAATTTATTTGTTGGGCTAGGAAAACTAAATTTAAAAGTAAAATATGAAATGCTGTTGTAAGAAGAAATGGCTGGTTAGTTCGAACAGCGATCTTACAGAGCCGAGTTTTTGTTTCTAATACAGATTGATGCCCCCTAGGACTTCAAAATGTGACTTA